ACGAATGTGAGATTCGCCTGATCATGCACGTAACAAGGCCGTTCGTAGAGTGCTGACACTATTCCTGGTTTGTGACGTATGTTGAGTTTCATTGTTACATTTTGACAGAACACCTCGGCGTCCGCGCCACTAGCCCAAGAAATACGTTGCTAGACTCCAGTCGATGGCTTTGACGTCGGAGGGGAGGACTTGTCTGCATTCCCGCTCCCGCATGACTCAAGCTTTTATTTGTACTCATCTTATGCCAAATGCAAATGCCACCGGCTACGCAATACAGTACGGCGCAGAACGATATGTGAAAAAAACGAAACGAGAAAAATGAAGCCTCTCAGTCGTGCCATGTGGTTATCTGCCCGGGAAAGACCGATGCTGGGACAGTAGTAGGTCCAAGATTCTCACCAGCTACACTCCAGTCGTCGCCGTTTGGAAGAACAAAGCCCTGTTGCAGGACAGGCTGACAACCGAAGCCACAGGCGCACGGGTGAGGCCGCCCGTCCGGGGCACAATAGGAAGAGTCAGCAGCATTCGCCAGATGTTCATCAGTGAACCCGGCTTCGAGACGCGAGCTCTCGGCGCAATAGCCGCTCGATATGCCGTGCTCCACTGGCTTGAACACACAACCACCACATCCAGCATACCATCCACAATAGCAATTGCCTGCTGGAAAGAGAAAGGCCGGATCGCAGCCGCCTGAGCTAGGGACCTCGAAGCATTGTTGACTGCATAGCGATCCTAAAAAACAAGGACTTGAACTCATTAGTGGCCATTCACCCCTTCACGGCATTCGGTTTGACGTACTTCATGAACGCAATATGTAAACAGATAGGGCACATCTGAGCCGAATGGCCAGCGGGACCCACATTGCCACAACCGCTGAACATCTGTTCCTGGAGAGCCATACTCGAGGACGCGACGTCTACGGATTGCCGCCCACGTATTGAGAACACATCGTTGAAGGTGGGTAGCCCAGAGGACGTCAGCTTTGCAGGCGATAATAACGAACACGCCGCCGTGGCATGGCTTGTCGTACCAGAGTACGATTCCATGTCTGCTTGTTGGCACTGTATATCCGTCGATGGTGACATGGCATCTGCTGGCGGGGTGTGCGATCCGACCAAATCTTCTCGAAAAGCCTCAGTCTCGTCAAGGGTCTGCGTGGCCAGACTGGACTCCACGAGACTCTCTATTGACATTCGAGAAGGCATTGCGATCGGAGGGCTGACTGAGTAGGCTGTTGAGTTTTTGGCTGTGCTGGAGCAGGATGTGAAGTACGTGATTGAGAAGGTTGCCGTGCTATATATGTCGATTATTGAAACTGGGTACTTGTTGATCTTCGCCAAATTGCGCATCCCACATTGGAGTAGATGGTGCCGAGTCCTGGTCGTAACGGTCGTGGAGATGGTCGCTGCGTTTCGTGCCAGCGCGCACAAGCCCGCGTGTCAGACAAGAAATCGAGCCAGCGAGGCGGGAGCGCCATAGGTGATGGGAGGGATGATAGCACCTGACGAGTGGCTAGAAGAGTGTGAAGCTCTGCCACCACGAAGATGAGTTTCAGAATCAGGGACTGGTTGACACTTGCGCATGAATCGACGCTCACCGACGTCTGGAGTGCGATCTGGTTTGCAACCGGCCGTGGGGCTTCGTGACGGTAATGCTGCATCACAGCCACTTCTGGATGAGTCGACCGATCGGGATGATTCCGTGCGTCTAGCCCCTGTTACAATACAACAGATGATCAATGTATACTGTCAAACAAACAGGCTTCGTTGCCCAGATATCGCCTTCCATTGCCGAGAAGGAAGCAGTCAATACACTATCGCTTTGTCCAATGCGGCAAGGCTGATTGGGCGCGCTCGATAATAAATGGCCTTGAGCTTCTACGCGGGCCAAGCAGCCGCAAGGACATGCTTTGAAGACGTTTCTATTTACTGACCTGAAAGCACAAGGGTATTCGGTTCTAGGTGGTCACCATCAGATTCTCACCATTTGCTACATCGACAAACAACGCCAACAAGAAAGTCCGAACGGTTCAGGGCAAAGACCCCGCTGGCGGGTATCCAACCCTTTGACCTCGGCCTCAATGAGCTTGCATATGCTGTTGGGGTATCACTTTCATCTCGCTCGGTGATAGACATGTGGTGCGGTCATGGAAGTCAAAGTTGAATTTCTATGGGACGTATGTCTATGTCGATTGACAGACTTTACTACCCGTTACATGCAACAACCCCGTGCAAGAACCCCAAGCAAGAAATCCAATCAAGTACTGCACGGCTAGCGTTAGATGCCATGCGTGATTGGTTCCAGCAGAAACTTGCGTGCCAGCCAGGGATGCGATGATACATCTCAATGCTAAGTTATGTTCGCATCTTCAACCACAACCCAATCGAGCGGCCTCGAGTCATAAGCTGACAACGAGTACTGTAAAGGTATTGTGTATCGTCTCTTCCAAGGCAGCTGGTGGTACGGAATGTAGAAATGCTCCAGAAGCCCCTGGCCCTCGTTGTAGTACAGCACGCAAGTTGTCAATTCATCACTCTTCTGGCAGAACAGGCTATCATAAGCTCGAACTCTGGTATGGTCGTCCATTTCATAGCTATCCTCTTGAATGTTCAACGTGAACCGCGGGCCCGGGCCCTGATGGCGCAAAAGGCCCCCAGAGCTGTTGAATTGAGAATGTCTTAATGATTCGGCCAGCTTGACTTTGTGTTGGATATCTCCGGTCCAGTCCATAGATGTAGCTGCAAGATGAAGCTCGTGGCAGTCGTCACCAAGGGCAAGCTGCTTGAGGCCAGACCCAAAGAAAATGGGATTGGCTCCGAGGTTAGCGGCAGCTTCGTGCCATGTGTTGTTGATGAAAAAGATGTTCATGACACAATCGAGTACTTCCTTCGCTGACCTGGGCATTTGAGCAAAATGTGAGAAGCGTTGAATCTAAGCGAAGCTGTTGCTCGGTCGTGGTCAGGGATCGCCCTTATATACTGTAGAGGCGTGCGGCGCGCGGCAGTGTATCCATCTCACTGCTTAGCCACGGAGCTGATTCGCCGCCAATCAGTAATGATATTGTCGATTATATGAAATGGCTGAGAAGGGCATTTCTGGCTCATTGGTGAAGTATCTCGTCCGGTAGCGTAGTGACGATTCTGAAGCGTCTCGAAATCAGATATAGGACGGAGTGAACAGCGGATCAGCCGGACTTGGAACAGCCACAGGATTGAGAAAGGCTTGAATGTAATATCGACGGGCTACGGGCGCAACTATGGATGAGCCGCTTTCATCTTCTTCAGAAAGCAAGCCGCCGTTCATGTCAGAGCGGGAAGTGAGTTGAGGAAGAGAGGTCCAAGCCGCCATTCAGGCGTTGGAAACCAAACATCTGTCAGAGATGGGTCGCTTACGACGACTGGAGACGGCGACGCCGGAGGGCTCGAGCCATGTCAGACACCAACTTGGCATTTTCACAATTCTCGATAATAGAAGGATTCGTGATAATGACGGCGATGATGCAGTTTGTATGTACGGGTATGAAATCTCAATTTGTCTCTACGACATTACACAATAAAAGATGGACTCGGCGAATCTCGGTGCAGACCATGTGCGCTCCCTATCAGAGCCAACCTCCGGGATTGTATGGTGGCTGCTTGCGCTTCAACTCCGGCTTGACAGCCTCAAAGTCATATTCTTCTCGACCCCGCCTGACCGGAGCCAAGAGGACGCCAAGGTCATCTTCTACGATTGGCAAGTCCGGCTCGTCCCCAGCCTGTCCCTCCACGTCTTCGCTCGGCCTAGATTCAGACGGATGACCAGCAGCTATGTTTGCCTCAGCAGGCATGGTGTTTGTCTCGTCCAGGACGCTCGCGAAACGGCTGATAACATCTCGAAGCCGCACCACAACTTGTTCGACGTCGGACATGAAGGTGGTTCCTGTGAGGGCTAGGCTTTTCCAATAGTCAAGTTCTTGCCTGAGACGGCCGGAGTCTCTCACAAGTTCTTCCAGACGTTTCTCTTTACTGACTGGTGCCTTCTGAGACTGTATGGTACTGTTTGCGAGGTCGGTTGCATGCGTTCTCCCGCCCAAGGCCGCGACTGCGTTGTCTATGTCGGTTGGTAGACACGGCAGGCCGCTTGATCGGCGAGGACGTTTCAAAGGTCTGGCTGCCATGCCATGCCAGTTTGCCATTGGAGTGGGCCGAAGTGCCGGTAAGGTGTTGAGCGAGGTGCGTGTCGTAGATCTTTTCTATAATACCGCCGGAAAGAATGTATGCTGAGCTCGATAAAAAGCCGGATATTGACGAGAGATGATTT